CCAGTTCACAGCTTCTAGAATGGGAAATTCAAGCTCAGGCAGCTGCAATTGGCGAGGCTTCCTCCCTCCTACTCCATCCCGTCTAGTGTTCCCGTCTGGTCAGCAGTTCTATCACTGACAACACACTGGTTCTTCCTCTTGGTCCCAACACATTATTCTGTCCCATAATGGAGGGACTGTTTCCTTTCTGTCACCTTAGACTGTCCTTCTGTACCAGTGCCTTTAGCTCCCTTACTGTCTATGGGACTATACTGTCTTCTAGAAAGAGGAATATATATGGGTCACTGTTATATCCATGTGTTCACCACACTGCAATATCCGAATGTGAAGTCCTTGGGACACAGTGATAAGTTGAATAAATGGCTGACTGGGAGGGGGCTTTGCAGAGCCTGGAGATGCAGCCGGGCAGTGTCCCTCTCCACAGTCCGTCCTCTCACTCTCCTTCTGCTTTCCACCTGGGCAACCAGACAGGCCCAGTGCCAGGTAGCCTCTCCTAACTATTCAAATCAGAGCTGGAACTGAAGTTTTGTTTTTGTTTTTCTTAATCCATCATGACAGAAGCCAGGGCACAATTCTGTCATCCCGAGTTGTGACTGAATCTTGACTGCACAGCTCAAAACAAACACGTGTGCCGATAGATGTCTGGCCTCATTCTTGGTCAATAGTAGGCTGCAGTAACCCTGTACTTCTGCCTGCCAGGCACCATGCTGAGCGCCTTGCAAACACTCCTTTAAGGCTCACTGCAGCTCAGGTCTCTTTTCTTGTGAAGGAGGGGTCTCAGTGGATTAGGGACTCACCCTGTGGCCTCAATTAGCCTTAATTTCCTCCAAAGTTGCTACTCCCAATACCATAGATTAAGGTTTCAGCCTCTCCATTCCTTACAATATGGAAAATATTATCCTCATTGTAGAGATGAGAAAAGTGAGTCTCAAAATGGCCAAGGAATTTGCTCAGGGTCACGGAGCTAAGGAACAGGGCACCCGGATTCTTCAAGATCCTTCTGAATGGAAAACGTGCGATATTAACTGTTGAAAAAGTTTGTATAATAAAACTAATAACACAAACAAAATGCAAAGAAATGATTGCTTTTGTGAGGTTTTTACAAAATGGTCCTAGGGAGATGGCTCTTTGGATTAGACATTTGCTGCACAAGCAGGAAGACCAGAGAACCCACATGAAAGCCAGGTGGCACGGCAGCCTGCCTGTGATCCCAGCACTTGGGAGGCAGAAACAGGGGATCCCTGGGCAAGCTGGCCAGCTAGACTAGTCAGATCAGGGGCTCCAGGCTAAGTGAAAACCCGGCCTTAGTAAGGAAATGGAGAGTGGTAGAGGAAGACACTGAGGTCAGTCTCTGGCCTTCATAAACACACACACACATGCACATGAACCCAAATACATACTTGGACCCACACATATGTAAATGAACATGTACACACAATATTCGCAATACACATGACATACACATGTACAGACAGATAAATGATAAAAGTATTTTTTTTTAAAAATGTGTTCTAGTATGCAACTTTCTATTGCATCATGGGGCAGGTTTTAATTTTCCTGTCCTTCATTTCCTCTCGTCTCCAAAAGTTTATCTGTATCATTCTTGCTAGTATGGCAGAGCATTTTAAAAGTTCTAATTTGAAATTCTAAACCATTCTATCTTCTTAAAGCCCAGGAAAACCAAGGAGGTTTAGAAAACAGTTCATATCCTAGATTTCAAAGGCCTCAGTAAAAAGTATGATGGGAAACTAGGAGTTCTGTGTAACTGAAAGCTGCATGGGATCAGATTGAAACCACTGCGCTTTTAACGACCCATAGTACTTGGGGCAAGTTTCAGGAACTAAAGCCAACTCATCTTTCAAGTTTTGTGTGTATATGCCCTACCCCCTGTGTGTGTGTATGTGTGTGTGTGTGTGTGTGTGTGTGAAGATCTGTGTGCAAATGGAGGTCAGAGGACAATTTTGTGGCGTTAGTTCTTTCATCTTTATGTGGGTTCCAATAATTGAACTAAGGTTACCAGACTTGTAGAAGGACCCATCTTGCTTGCCCCGACATGCATTTTATTTGTAGGATGATATCGTGTCTTCCCTGTTTCTTGGTATATCATATGATTTCTTATGGACAGACTATATCATATATCTACCATATGGTAGTTTATAGATATTAATATATTTTTATTTGTTGTAATACTCTGTAAAATATGCACAAAATCATAATATAGGCAAAGCTTCCAATAATAAGACTAACTTTTTTCTCTTTTGTGTGAAACCAGCCTAAGGTCTACAGGGAATTTTAATCTTTCTTTCTTTCTTTCTTTCTTTCTTTCTTTCTTTCTTTCCTCTCTCTCTTTCTTTCTCTCTTTTCTTTCAGCATCTACCTCTTAAAAGCCTTATTATGTAACAAAATTTATATTAGGAGTTAGTTTTTGGGGAGATTTAGTTACATGTATTATAACAGGTAGTTTCATTATAAGTAGTTATGCTGAATTACTTCAGTATGTAGAAAAGTTCTCACAATCTTATAGTTTGTAGACGTTGTGGGAATTGAGACTATGCTTTGACAATATAGTAGAGATTCTAGAAAATTATTCTAAACAACGTCTTTACACAAAAGTTAATTAAATAAATTCAAAAGAAAGGTATTTAAAAGGGAAACAGTTTGGGGCTGCAGAGATGGCTCAGTGGTTAAGAGCACTGGCTGCTCTTGCAGAAGACCTGGGTTGAGTTCACAGCACCCACATGGCAGTTAGCAGCCATCTATAACTCCAATCCCAGGGAATCCAACACCCTCTTCTGACCTCTGTGGGCATTGCATGACATAGGTACACTTACATACATGTGGGTAATACACTCATACACATAAAATAAAATATAAGAAATAAATAAAATATTAAAAGTGAAACAACTTCCAAAAGCTATGAGAGCAAACATCAATCAATGATCCAACACCAGCTTCAAGACCAAATAACCACATCAATGGTGAGCACAGCATACAACATTGGTGCAGTAGTGGCACTTTTATCTTAGGGATAATCAACGGCTACTTAATTGATCTAAAAGCTCACTCAGTAGGAGGAAACTCAAATATGGCACTGCAACCAAATACACATCTGGAGTGTTTATGACCAGCGGTCTTAATGAAACTACAAGACTATCACATACCTAGACTAATGTGATTTCTTACTATGTGCAAAATATGTATCCTTATCCCAGTCACCACTCATCAAAGAAGCTCATTTTGCACCAGTCAGAGACTATTACCAAGTACCATAACCGGTCACACACGGGGACATTGTCTATGAATTGCCCAGGCCTAAGTGACACATATACAATGTAGCCTCTACACCTAAGGCTTATGGAACATAGAACAGTGGTAAAGAAGAGGATACTAATGAATCTCTCAGCTCTCATTAATAAAGTTCCCTCATGCAGTGGAGGGCCAGGAACACAAAACATCCCAAATGGCCAAAGTATAGAGATCAAGAGTCTGCTGAATGCTGGTCCTTGGACAGGACTCTTATTAAACTTCATTGACCCAAGGCCCAGGGACCATTGCAGAATAGGGGGCAGCAAGTCTGTAAAAGTCAGGGAAGAGGTGCAAACAGAGTCCTACAAGGTCCTGGGAACCTGCTCATATGATTCTATGGCAATGGTGTCAGTGTACACAAGTCCCATGCAAACTTAGGCAGACAAAAACCCAGCACAGAACTGGGAAAATGAACAGCAGACCCCAATATTAGCCAAAGAAATATTGGCAACTTGTTGCTGCTTGGTGGAGAAGAGCCGATCTTCCTAAAATAAGGGACTCTAGGTAGGCTGACTAGACTCAGTGGATGGAATTGCACTGGGGAATGTCTGTGGACACTGACTTGACACGATGGGCCATAACAGGGATGACAGAGTATAGGGGCTCCAGTGGGGGGGTGAGGCTATGGGGGCTGCCAGTGAGGACTAGGATAAAAATATGATTAACAATGTTTGAAATGTTCTGTATGAAATACACAAAAATTCAACAAAAACAAATTTTTAAAAAATGAAACAACTTTTAAACTTTTCATAACGGTGCTCAATATTGTTGTTCAGTTTGTTTAGCAGATATTTCAAGGGATTTACATCTAGAATAACTTTAAAGTAGGTCACAATTGGAAACAATTAAGAAATTGCAGTTTTGCTTTGTTTTCCTTAACAGGTCA